AAGCAGCAGCTCGTCACACACAGCTGCTCCTCTTGCTCTTTCTGGACTCCCGGGGAAGATGAGCCCTGACTCTTCCTCCCAGTCTCATTTTAAGCAGGCAGGGTCTCTCGGTCATGCTAGGCATCTCATTTCAGTAATAATCTTAACTTTATGCCATAGGTCACAGTGTCATAAGCATGCACAAGGAAAAGGAAGTTTTCCCTGCAGCCATGTTGTATTTAGCTCTCTTATTGCAGAAATATACCGTGACATGAGAATTGGCTGACACCATCATGAAATATCAACCTAAACTAAAGTGATGTCTGTTAAATAGGGACTGGTACAGACATCCTGCTTATACTTACAGCTCTCCTTCCTACCACCTGCATAACTTTTCCTTGAGCTCCCCATCAGCAGCAAAAGATGTCCAAGAGGACATAACAATTCTCTGGAACACCATATAAATAAATGGACTAAATAAATGAATACCACCTCCTGCCCAACCCTGGAATAGAAGAAATCCTGTTCACGGGAAGAAGAAAACACTTTGAAGACTTTGCTAGTCCTCTCACCTCACTAACTGTCCAGTGTGACAGAGCACCTCTGTGTCAGACTTTACTTGGGTCATCCACATGCTGTACATGCCACCACAGAGGCAAAGGGTTCCTGTATCGCAGACCAACTAGGGGTCTCCAATTTTTGTTTTCAGACTCCTCTTCTTTTTCACCCCGCAACTTACTCCACTGAGACACAGTTGAAATTTTCACAGGCTGTCTCACAGTAAGAAAGCTGACACGAAGGTATCACGTTTCACCCACAGTATTGCCTCTTCATCCGCGGAAGAATCAAGTTCGAGTCCTTATCCTCTGTAAACTAAAACTAATATATCACATCACATCTTCCCCCACCTCTTTCCAAGCTGCATAAAGTTCAGGTAGAGCTATCGCTGTGGCACATGTCTGCAGCCTCAGAGGATTCTGGGTGATGTGAGACCAGCTGAATCCCTTGGGAAAAGCACATAGCCTGAATTTAAAGTGCTAAACAAGAGTTTGGGATGATATGCCTCTTTTCCCTGAAGTATGCTGGAACGTGCTAAAGCAGTCTGTCCCATAAGCCTGGTGAAAAGGGACAGACACCACCATGGGTGAAATGCTCATCCAACTATGTCGAGTGTTCTAGCGGTTAATAATTTTATTGAAACAGAAAATGCATTGAAATGGCAAGTGGGGTAAAATTAAATAAAATGGATGTAATAACAATAATCCACAGAATTTCCTCTACTTTCACTCATAAATATTATGGTAATTTTGTTACCAAATACTCTGTGAAATACTAAAGATGACATCTGTAAGCACATTATTGCTGGCTTCGGCCTTTCAAGACAGAGTATATGATTAACATCTCTGGCATCGTACACTAAAGTCAAGACTGATTTTTTTTTTAATGTAAGGAAAGATGCCAGTAGTATATGGATTTTTTAAATATTATGATCAGGAGGCAATGAAAAGAAGGAATAAATCAGTACAGACTACAAGATATCCAAAGAGGATATAGCAAAATTTAAAGGCCAAATCTTTCAACGAGTCTTCTACTCTAATTAATTTCCTTCATGGACAGTCCTTGCCATGTATTCAGATGCTGAAGGTAGTAAGGGCTAGACATTGGAGAGAATTATTGTATTTCTTTTGTATCTTGTTTCAAACCCTGAATTAATTCACTAACAAACATCTAATTAGTATTTCCATCCCAGATCTCTGTAAGTATTGGTCTGTAACACTATTCAGTGCTTCATAATTCATAAAAAGGAGATAAAGGAATCGGAAACAGAAATAATCCAGAAAGAATGGAAGTAGAATCTGACGTTCAGATTTGATGATCGTAATATTTGGATACATTCACTTGGCTCAGGCTTTCAGCTGGCGTGACTATAACTCGTTAGCAAGGTTTTAATTCTGTTTGCATTTATGCACCTCTACATCATTTGCAGTGGGAATCAGACTCTCCAGTAATTAATTGAAACCTCCTGACTGAAATACCATTTCTCTTAGTTACCTTTGCAGATTCCTCAGATGAAGTCCAGAGCACAGGTGGAAAACCAGAGCCATAACATGTAAATGATGATATTTATGTCGTAACAGGATAGACAAGGGGGAGAAGATAGCAGCAAGGTGCTGCCTAATTTTCAAAATTAGATTCATTTGGGCAGCCTGTCACACAAATCATCGAGATAAAATGGTACTCAGCATCTGGCAGAGACCATGTGGTACTCTCCTACGTACCACTGTTCTCTCTTCTAAATAGCTTACGCTAGCTGATTGCCAAGGAGAAGCTACGAGCACAGACAGGGACAGCACTCAGCAGCAGCGATACTTGGCTGCAAGAAGGAGATGGGCACTAGTAGTGACAACATGAGCTGCTCAAACAGGCAAGCACGCACACAGCCTGTGTTTTAAATGTTGCAGGTGCCAGCTGAAGACAACACGATGGCTGCAGCAGGCCTTATTCCAGAGTATCACTGGGATGAAAGGCCTTACTGGGCATGGCCCCAAACAATCTGGTCCGACCACACAGCTGCCTCTGCTTCCAGCAGGAGACTAGGTGGACTAGAGACCTCCCAAGGTTAGATCTTGAAAGATCCTATGACAAGATGGTGACAGAATGTCTCTTTTTCACAACCTCCTAGTGGGAACACTGCACTGAAAAAAAGCAAGAATATTAGTAAAATTGTACTAACGTGGTAGGAGAATAGCTATAGCCCTTCTCAGCTCAGATCGCCACACTTAATCTCTGCAGATTAAACAAACAAAATGCAAACACATGTAAAAGTCTGGCATATAGCGCTACAGTTCATAAAATATTAGCTTTAAAGTGCCATTAATTTATATCTATTAGATACTTCCCCTCTCCCCAAAGTAGACTGAGAGACAGCGCTCTGCAAACACACTTCCTGGGGTTCAATGTCTTTTCCTTCTGATACAGAAATCATCGGTGAAATGTATTAAAACCGAAGGAGGGTGTGAAGAGTCACATCCCAACCCCTGGGAGGTTCAGCTGCTCTCAGCAGATCCCAGAACGTCACTGGTGCTGCCACCCTGCATGCAGCCCTGCCCTGTATTTGATCCCAGCTGTCTGCCAAACACAAACAGCAGCAACGCTATTGGCATATTAAGTCAACTGGTAATGCTCAGAGGAGGATCACAGAGGACGGGTTTCTCCTTCTCTAATGCCAGGTAGAGACGGAAGCACATTTGCCAGTTCTGTAGGGACAGTAGAGGCAGTAAAATGCCCTTCTGGCAGGCTCCAGCCAGCACACATTGTCTTCTAAAGCACACTGTGTGGAAGGAAAAGTGCTGTGTGGTAAAATACACTGATTCAGTGAGAAATCACTAATTAACAAATTCCAATTTGGGAAAAGAGGAAACAAATAATGCTGCCAAAACTAACGCTGTACATTCACCTTTCCCTCTGCTGTGTTTTAGTCCTTCATCCCTGCCCTCTAACCAGTGCAACGAACATCCCAAGTAGTTGTCATTCACTTCCTTTTAATGAGAGACCATCATGGTCATCTTCACCTCCTTCCAATTAAGGAACCTATGGTTTCATTGTAGAGTAGTATATTTAATATGCTATTGAACACACACGTGCCCATATACATTTGCTACAGTTTCACTTTAAGAAAGTAATTCCGAAATGAATAACCTCAAACTAGGACAAGACTGAACCATACTTTTCTGACATATTCAAGATAGCTATTATGCTGCAAACTCCTCATTTGCATTTATCAAACCTCATTACAGGCTCAAAGACTTATTCCTAGAATGCACCTTTAAAACTATGCAGTAAAACTAATCTGTGTTTCTCTGCATGAACAGGGAATTTAGGCTTGTAACTCCCACCAGTTTTAAAAGCAGTTCCATACAGAAGTGACATTGAATCCAGACAAGAGGAAACCCTCATAAATCATTTTTCCTTGAATTGCCAAAATACTTTGAGGGCACCTTAATTTCATACTAAAACATCAAAGAACCACATTACTCGTTTCTTAACTGTAACACAGTGTTTCTAAAACGGTTTCAGAAGTGTCCTTGGTACACTTAAGCCATCAAAGACCAAAATCTGGGGAGAAAACCTTTTGCAGCAATCTGCTATTTGTCATGTAAAAACAGTGACATAATCACTAGAAGTCTGAAGTTTTCCAAGTCCTGCAGTAAAAAATATCCATGGCTAACAAACTACTACTGACTGTCCAAAACAAGTATCCAAGCAATAATTCATTTATCTGGTGTAAAATCAGCAATTTCCACTGAAACCCTGGGTGCTTAAAAAGGCAAAACCAAAAAGCTTAAAAAAAATGTGCATCTAGGAAGACAACCAGCCTTGATAGGTAGACCAAAAAAAAAAAAATGCTGCTAGGAATTTGCTCTGCATTGAATCAATACATTTAGCATAAATCCTAATTTCAGTCTTCAAGGAGGCAGCTTGCATGATTCAAGGTTAAAAGTGCATTATTCATTTTTAAGTCTGTCACACAAAATAGCCAAATATTCTGATAAGGAGGGGATACAAGCATTTGATCTACAATAGATGATGAGATGTGCTTATGATTATGAAGCTATTCTCAGTTGTATTACCCTTGTAAAGTGTAAGAGCCATGTCCGAGGATGTCCTTACAGGCATCTTTAACATAATGCTACGAATGACATGCTTCTTGGGTTTGTATATTATTTTCTTAGGTGATTAATTTAAACAAAAGTTTAAAAAGCTGATCAGTATGAACTTCAGAATGAGAGCTTTATTGCACACACAATGAAGTTCCCTCTGAACAGAAGGGAAAAAGAAATGCTGTGCCCTGCCTGCATATTCACATGCAAAGTAACAACTCCCCTTCCCCACTGACTGCCACGTTGACATCATGCAGCATCTGCCTTCGACTTTTTGCATATGCATTGAAAAGACACACCTCAGAAAATAAAAAAAAATAAAGACATTTTAAAAATCAAAATAACCATTTTGTTACTTACAGCATTTGATAAAATGGTAATGAGACATTCTTTCATCTCAGGCTGTAGTCTTGCTACAGGTTTCAGCATTCTCTCCTGCTACAACTGTCATGCCCAGAAAATGCATTATTTAGAGCCCTTCCTTAGGTATCCAGTATACCTCAGAATACATTATTTAACGTAGTTTCTGTTCCAGGATCTTGCAGAGGCTTCCGAGTCATCCTCACCCCGCTGCTGGAGTTATGATAAACCTCTGTGCGTCTTGAACCATGACTACTGCACGTGCTATTGTAGCAAAATTGATTGACACCACTCCTAATCCCACATCCCCAGGAATAGAAAGATTTAATTGGTGTGCACTTGCAGCCACATTCTTTCAGCACTGAGGTGTGCTGCTGCACTGCGGCTCTCGCAGTCCTGCCAGTTAATGGCTTTTCAATAGCTTTCAAATGGCAGCAAACTAAGCTTGATGAGTGGGCTCGAGTGAAATAGCAGAACAAGAGATCTTAAATTTTATTTCTGCATGCTGTTCATGTGCCAAATGTGACCAGATTCTTAGCTGGTACTAAAACAGGATTATTTTTAGTTGCCACCAGTTGCTGTGTGAATAGGAAATTGATATAGGTTGCCAAAAATAACCACCTTTTAGCATCACAGATAATTTTTCAGTTTGTTCTAAGGTAAAAATCAGGATAGAGCTCACAGCCACCTTCAGACTTTCCTGGTTTATGCATAGGTTCATTTAAATTGAGCTAAGAAACGTGCTTGCGTGTACATTCCTTGATATGTTCTTGTTTTGTCATTTCTTTGTATTGCATTGCATCTTTTTCACAGATGGGATATTTATGTTAGAAGAAACTGCAAGCTCTGGATGGTTTATAACATGATTATGTGGATGTTATCTAATAATATTTTAATCACAGATTATAAGACAAAATGCCTAAGCAAATGCATCACCAAGAAGAAGTCCATACAATTATTTATCAGACTGCAGAATAACAAGTCAATGTATACTGACGCATTACCCGGTTTCAGATTAAGGGCACACAAAAGGCAGACCTGCATTGTATTTTAAACACCCGGGCTGCATCACCCTCTAAGCACAATTCCTGCATTACTTTTCCAAGAACAGTCACCCAGGAATCTGGTTACTACTTCTCCAAGAAACCTACAGCAGAACTACAGCAAAATATTTTCATAAAATCAAATAATAATTTAAGATAACTGCGCTCAGAGCAGATTTACATTTGCTTACTATGTGTCATGCTTACCACAGTCATCAATTCACTGAGAGGTCTTGTAAAGGGAAACTGATAGCCCAGCCATACTTAAATCTTTTATTCCGCTGAAAGGTTCTTACCTACTATTTTGTATACATACCATTTTTAACAGCTACAAAGTGTTACAGGGACTACAAAGGGAAAAGGGTATAACTCATTAGTGAGGATTACTAATTCATATTCTATTAACTATTCTGCAAAGTTCCCACAAGAGCAGAAAGATATATATTCAGAGGCTTCCAGTGATCCATTAGCAAAACCCTTAGGTGAAATCTCTCAGCTCCTAACAGCCACATATTTCAACTCTGGCTTTAGGTATCATATGCACAACAATAACTTTGCAAAACTAATTATTTTGGTGGTTTGTGATTTTTTTTTCCTGAAAACATCATTTTTTCAAAAGAAAGGGAAAAAGAAATCAAGAAATAACCAGGGAAATAGGGATAAATTATATAAACCACAATACAGTAATTACATTACCATGGAAACGTCTTACTGTAAAGCTCAGAAGTCCAGAGTAATTAAATCTATCCATACTTTCTTTCACACCTAAACAACATCAGGCCAGTTTGGGCCATATGGCTTATAAAATAAACATACAGAGTATTTTAAGAGGCAATGTTAGTCATAGTTCATGAGCAAGTGTCAAGTAATCTGACAAAAAGCCCTTTGAGAAACACTTTTTGGAGGAGACATTGCTGACAGGTTCATCTCTGATGGCATTGTTGGGCAGATAGGCTGCCGTGTCTAACATCACACTTCCACCAACCACACTGGCTAAAACCAGGAGGACTCTCAGTAAACACTGGTGTACGGGAGCAATGGACAAAGGGTGACTTTCTGAAGACAGACATAAAAGGAAGATGAAACATTTCTGATTTTGGCTAGAACAAAATATGGTGAAAAAGTATTTGGGTCTGTCTCATTTCAGATTGTAATATATGTGTTTATCTATTGAATTGCCACAGTGAAAATTTAGGATCGTGGAACTTGGTAGCACTAAAGTGACAGGTTAGACTGCATACTCCACCCTGCAAGGAATGGGAGCGAATTCAACAAAGCCAAGTGCAGGGTCCTGCATCTGGGTCGGGGAAACCCCTGGTATCGATACGGGCTGGAGGATGAAGGGACTGAGAGCAGCCCTGCTGGAGAAGGACTTGGGGGTACTGGCGGATGAAAAGTCAGACATGAGCCGACAACGTGCACTCACAGCCCAGAAAGCCAAATGTATCCTGGGCTGCATCAACAGAAGTGTGGCCAGCAGGTCAAGGGAGGTGATTCTGTTCCTCTGCTCCACTCCCATGAGAACCCACCTGGTATCCTGCATCCAGCTCTGGAGCCGTCAGCACAGAAAAGACATGGACCTGTTGGAGCAGGTCCAGAGGAGGGCCACAAAGATGATCAGAGGGCTGGAGCACCTCTCTTATGAAGAAAGGCTGAGAGAATTGGGGCTGTTCAACCTGGAGAAGAGAAGGCTTCAGGGAGACATTATTGCAGCCTTTGGGTACTTAAAGGGGACTTATAAGATGGGGACAAACTTTTTAGTAGGGCTTGTTGCAATAGGACAAGGGATAATGTTTTTAAAATAAAAGAGGGTAGATTTAGACTAGATAAAAGGAAGACATTTTTTATGGTGAGGGTGGTGAAACTGGAACAGCTTTTCCAGAGAGGGGTAGATGGCCCATCCCTGGAAACATTCAAGGTCAGGTTGGATGGGGCTCTGAGCAACCTGATCCGGTTGAAGATGTCCCTGCTTATTGTAGGGGGGGTTGGACTAGATGAACTTTAAAGGTGCATTCCAACCCAAACTATTCTGTGATTCTATAGTCCCTTACAGAGAGTATCAACCTACAGGACAGATTCTTGAACGCTGCAAGCTGTTGACTTCATATTTACATCAGGCTAACTGGCAACAGAGCTGCTGTCTATATGGTGAACACATCTCCTACTTCTTCTCTCCTAACGTGCACTAGTCCACGTAAGCAGGGAAGTACATGGGGCTGTTTGACAAGGGAGGGTCTGCAAGGCTGCGCCATAGCTGGGGATTGCGCCTTTTAGCTGGATCTTTGGACTGTGCAAGTCCATAGGCAGCATGTACCCACCTGCAGCAGGGCACTGTGCCTGCTCCCCTTCTCCGGGAGACATGTGCCAAAAATGTGTGGTCGGCTGCTCAAGTATGAATGGCATCCTGCAGGCGAATGAAAGAAAGGCACCAACTTTTCAAGTGGTGACACCTGGCAGACGGCGACCTCAAAAGTCCTTTCAATTTAGCATATCACATATGCTTTTTTTAATATAAAATATTTAGTTTTATCACATGGGTAATTATCATTAGTGGACTTTGCAAAAGAGATGACAGTCTAAATGGAAAGAAAACGTAACAAAAAATTGTATATTGCTGTCAGCAGGTAGTTCTGATGCATTAAATTGCCACAAAAATGAGGAAAGGTCATAAAGAAATGGTAAAGGGAATGAAATGGAGAATTAAGAGAAATGAGAACAAGGGATAAATACTAGTGCAGAGACAGAATGGATCTTGAGGGGAAGTGGCAGCCAAACTTAAGGCAAAAGGATGCCAGAATAGGAATACCAAAGAGGAAGAAATCTGGCCCACCTGTTGGAAAGACACATGATTTCCACTGCAACCTTTTGCTAGGGTGGCAAGTAGAGAAAGAACAGACAGGGAAGAAACTGCAGTACTCATGGTGCTGGATATCCATGTCATAAACAAAGATTTCAGGAGAGAACAAAAAGAAGGATGTAGATTTCTGACAGGAGTCCAAAGGAGGGAATATTTTGCTGTCAGTGATTTTACAAAGCAAATTGTACAATTTGGTTATTCACAAGAAAAGGGATATTGGTCATGTTAGTCATTTTCTCCTGACTGACCTCCAGCAATGAAAAAGGAATTCTGAAGAAAAAACCCCAAAAGACATAAACAATACTTAAAAGCCAGCCATGTAAAATATGGAAGTATATTTGGACAAGCTCAAAGTGCATTGTAAAACTGCCTTCTCTGAACATTAGGAAACATAGGCACCTTCTCACTCACAGCTCCACTGGCTTCAAGACGACTACTCCAGTGTTTTAGTCTACAGAGAGGCTCAAGTATACTTGGACTAGGGGATAAAGACTGAGCTGGTATTAAACCTAGTGATAAAACACTTCTTATTAATGTATTTGATTTTTTTTCCAGCTTACTAAAAATAGAGATAAAAAAGAATCAAGGTCAAAAATCAAGATACATTTAGCCCTTCTGGAAAAATTCCTTGCCACCTCTCCCTATAGAAAGAAAACAGCCACTTTCATGCAATGAACAAATCCATCATTCAATGAAATTACAAATTTTTTAAATAGAATCTTGGAACTGGTCAGCCATCACTAGGATAGCTGTTTGTCTTAAGATAAACACACATTTACAGATTGTCATCTCAGAGTAGGCACTGTTTCCACATCTCAATTTCCAAGCCTCAAAGCTTGTCTTAGAAAAAGCACCTATGAAATGTTTCCTACAATAACCTAACAAACAAAACCACTGCTTAAAATATAGTTTTGCTGCCAAAAACTGACATGCTGTATTGTATTCATGTCATGTAAATATTTTGTTACTCTTCTAGTGTCTTCTGGTGTCGCAAACAACTGAACAGCTAATATTTTTGTCATCTTAGTATTTTATAATTCACATATATCTGCAAGATTTTGATAGAGAAATGCAGAACTATCTGAAGGAAATTTGAATAATGAGAAAAACACCGTAACTACTGGTTTTAAAAACATGACAGATGCTCCCCGTTTATGTCATTTTCATTCAGTGCAACAAAGCTTGCTATGTTCCTTCAGATGTTATAATTTCATTGCATTACTTATGGGTTTAAGACTGCAGACAGAAAAAATGGAATGCAGAGTAACATTAGCATTGCTTATATATTTTGACAAGTGATACTGCTTAGCAATCAATCCCTGGCCATGCTGCCCAGCTGCCAACAAGCCATGCTTCAAATAACA